CTCAGCCACGGGAAGTACTGTGGCCTCATCCCAACACGCAGCATAGCAGAGTCCGTCTTCACCACCCACCTATTACAAGAAATTCGGGACTGGACGCTATTGCTGAAGCCTTACACACTTCCCAAGGCACCGAAGTTCCCAACAAGACCACCCAGGCTCGCGCCTTCCACGCCCCACTGATATCTCTCCTCGCTCAACAACTTCAAGCTCACACTCCAGCAGCCGCTGAAGGTTCAGCCCTTCGCGCCTTGAAAGCCACTTCTGACGACCTGGCACGAGCCCGAGAGAAGCTGCAAGCCCACGGCATCGAACTTACACCCCGCAAAGAGGCCGGCCGCTCCTCCGCCCCCAGTGCACCAGCTGCTCCGGCCGAACCCGCCGCACACAACGATCCCAACAATGGCGCCAACGCTTGCGACACCTTCAGGTTCTGCCTCACACTTACCACTACCACAACTTCCTCTCCTCCAACTCAGTTTACATCAAACTCCACTTCAACACCATCGCTCCACAACGTTGTTACCACCAACATGGCCACTACTATGCGGGCTCCACTGCCATTGGCATACCACATCGAGAACACAATCGCCGAGCCAAGCTCAAACAACTTCAAAACAACATCCCAGTCTCCGCTGAACTATCCCTGCGCTACTGGCATTCACATGACAACATTCACCACTTCACTACCATCCAGCTCTCTTCCCACGACACTACGAGCAAGCATGGATCAAAGAACACCACTTCATCTCCAACTGGACGCCACCCCTCAACTGGCCTTTCATCTCCCAACATCTTAAGCTCAAGGCCGAGGGATGGCAATTCACAAAGCACCGAGCACATTTCTACTCCCGCTTAGCCACTCACAAGCGGCTCTTTCGCAAGCTCCGCAGACGACAGCAGACGATCAGAGAACCATACCTTTTTACCTCCACCAAACATCAAGCCCTGACTCTTCTCCGCAATCTCACCAAGCACACTATAGCCTCCTTTGAAGCAGCCAAACAACTTCGCAGCGGCCGTCATACTGACCTAGAAGTGTACGCCATCAGACGTATGGCCTCCAATCTTGAAGAGCCAGGTCGCAGCCGAGCATTATCAACAAAGCACTACACTACAGAAATTTGACGCCTCCCAAGCCCAACATTCCCCTTACAGTACCATTCCTGGCTCATGACCAGTTCACCAAGCACTGCCAGCAATGGCTACAAACCACTATCCAACAACACAAGCACAGCATTTGGCCATTCCACTTCACCTCCCCACACACCGTCTACGCGAAGCCGCCCACAAAACACTCCGAGCACAGCTTCACAACCATCGCGCTTGGGAAGCCACCTTGCACACACCTCCAAACCCCAGTGATGCTCTCACCTAAAAAACCTTCTTCTCGAACCCGCCACGGCTACCGCCAGCGACCACTACATCCTCACCTTGGACCAATTGACATTACCACCACATCTCCGCATATTCCTGGACGCCAATATGAACAGCACCTTCTTCCCCAGCAAAGCCAGATACTTTCTCACATTCCAAACCGCCTTCACCAAATGGCTCCGGTTGCAAGGACTCCCGACCTCGCTCAGTCAACACTTGGAGCCTTTCCTTCAGCACCAATGGAGACTTCACACAACACACCTCAAACAACAACCGCGCTTTACAGCTCGCCTCATCCGTCAACTCCAAGAATACCTGGGCGACAACGTCGTACTCCATCATGCTGATCACGAACTCCAACAACTCCGGATTTTTTGCCCACGTCAATACTTCACAGGCGCACTCAACACATGGCAGGCTCCGGAACTTTTTGAACCCCTTCCACATCTCACTTCATCTAGCATCCATGACCACCTCTCCGCCACCATACCGGCCAGCCTTCGCTCTCGATACAAATGGGGATTCAGAAAGGATTTCACAATCCCATACGGCATTGTTCACCTCAAGGCCAAGAAGCAGTGGCAGAAAGGACGCACCATTATCTCGTATTTCCACTCCCTGAGTGGCAACCTCTTACGCATCACCAGTCGAGCACTTGACATCATTTTGCAACACCTTTTCCCACAACATCCGGGCCAACTGTCCATCCCACAACTATGGCGCCACCTCCATTGCTACCTTACCCACACACCGGCAGACATTCCTCTTCACGCGACCAACGATGACCTTGTGGGCTTCTTCAACTCAGTGCCCCAACACCGCCTCATTGACGCAGTCCACTCTATGATCCAACAATGGCAGCACCCAAATACTACACACACCCTGACCGTTGACACCAAAGCCACTGGCAACCCCTTCCATCACTCCCACGTTGGCAGACACTACACAAAACATCCCACCCAACGCACCCTCCATACATCCGACATCACCACCATTGTGGCCTTTGCACTCAACACTTGCATTTTCCGGGCATGCAACAACACCTACAAACAAATCCGAGGGGCTGGGATTGGCTCCCAACTCTCTCCTGCCCTTTGCAACGTTGCAATCACCCTCATTGAACACTCCTGGCACCAGCTCCACAACAACCTTCTCCAGCACACAGCCCTCCACTTCACTTACTACAGATACGTTGACAACCGTTTCATCGTGCACAACGAACACTTCCTCTCCCACCCAGCCATACAGACTCTCATTCACCACAACTTTTTTGGCGATCCAGTAGAGCTGGAAACAGTGGACGACTTTCACCTCCTGGGCTTCAACATTGACCTACCACAACGAACCATCACCTACATCCAACCTGGAAAATCAGGGATCCCACCAGCGCCGGTAGCCAGCGCTTGGCTCTTTCCGGCTTAGCTTCCAGACTCCATGCAATATACACATACACCTTTCCACCCAACACCGCAGCGGCAGCGGCTGAAGAACTTATCCGGCTGTATGTCCAAAAAGGGCATGATCCAACTGCGTGCCGGCGATTTTTGAGAAAAACAGAAACCACTGTCATTTCATGCACTTGCGCCGATCTCGGCTATCTGTGTGTGTCAACCCCTGTTCCAAAGGGTCCTGTGCTTTGTTCTGACAGCACAGCAGGGGGCAGTGACAGAGTTTGTGGAATCACTGCCAACGAAGACGTCCACATTCTCTGGTGATGCATCGGGAGACGTCCTGATGTGTACCTGCTACAACCTTTGACCAAGCTGTGACTCCAATCTTTCCTTGTTTGATTCCATGGTCCTTACATGATAGACCCCAAAACCTTTTCCCACCGCAGATGTGCAGCCGCGCTGATTGCTCGACACCGCTGTTCTCGTGACTTGCAGATGCGCGAAAACCATTTGTTCAAACATCTTCAAATCTTTGAACCTTTCGCCTTGCCTTTCCCTCACCTTCCTTCTCAACGTGGGAATTGAGTTAACAGCAAACCAATGTCAGAGTGTGTGTCAAAGCCTGTTTCTAAGGCTGCGCACATGGTCAAATATTTAAAACCAATTTTTAACAGCAGGGGGCCACCGGGGTCCCAAAGGAGCGGTGGCCAACGAAGACCTCCTCTGGGGCCCGTGTAAACGTACCTGCACTTTTAAAACTGCTCAACCATGAAACACGCAGATGTTGAAACACTTCAGTTGTCGAGGACCTTTTCACCTTACCGTTCTACAAGTGAAGGGCTAGGTATTCAGTAACTAGAGTGCTAGGTAGTCAGTAACTAGTGTCTGGAAGCTCGAACTTGCACCATGAAACATGCAAATGTTGAAACACTTCAGTTGTCGCGGACCTTTTCACCTTACCGTTCTGGGCTGGGTATTCAGTAACTAGAGTGCTATATAGGTAGTCAGTGACTAGTTTCTGCAACTTCGTCAACCGACTTAGCTCTTGCGAGCCCCAAGCTAAGTGTGTGTCAGGCGCTTGTGAAATGCGATGCTTTTGCCAAACAAGTGATTGAATTTGTCGCTGTCCGTGGCTGCTTTGTTAAGCGCCCTGGTGGCCACCCCATGAAACCCCTCAAACTTGACATGGCACACCGCCTTTCTAAAAGGAAGCGCTGGGAAGCTGGGGTGGGGAAAGGGCCTGCAGGGCGCACTCTGGCGGATTTCTTGAAGGCTTTGCCTAGTAATCCTGAATTCTTGTGGACTGGTCATAGATGGCATACCCAAAATGGACAGTGAAGTGTGCAAATTGCCAAAAGTATGTGAAATCCCGTTAATCGTATGAAGAGGTGACCCCGATTGTCCTTACACCGCATCCAGCCGTGAACAGGCCACCTGATGCAACTGCTGTACAGGCCAGGATAGGCATTCTCGAACGCTGCCGCCCCAGCTTGCCGGAAGTTGGCTGAGCAAGTAGTTGCAGAACTGAGTCGGCTTTCAAATGAACGACTGTGTGCTTAGAAGGAGATGTGATAATGTGTAGGAAATGTGCTCGCCGGTGGTCTGCGCAGGCCCTATCCAAAACTTTGCACCAACCGGGAGGGAGAGATGCGGAGCTCAACCTAGCTTGTCAGCTTATTCTGCATAAAAACATTGAGCTCCTTTGAAAATGGTTTAGGCAAACTTGACTTTGCTTGTTTTGAGGTGCGAAGGTAGTCAGGCACAGGGGTCTCCCTTTCGTGCAAGCATCCATCAAGAACACTAGGAAGAACTCCATACCCATGAGCAAAGCAATGGTTACCGACATGTTGACCTGTCTAAGACAACAAAGCTTTTGGGTTCGCGCCATTGTGCCTTGCACCATGCTTCCCCCCCCAAACGTGGTGAGAAGGTTGCTGTCCAGGGAAATGGGTGTTGGGAGCAATTGGACGCCTTAAGTGTTGGGCCTGAAGTGGTCTGCGTGATCAGTGCAAGCCGCACGCAGATTTCCGACTCCAGAGCCCAAATAGCCTGCTATGCAATCGCTGCCTTTGACTTGGCACATCCCAGTCCATGTTGCATAGGTTCTGTGACAGGCAGCCCTTCCGGCCCACAGAAACCTTTGCGAGCGCATTTGGCAGGTTTGCTTACACTTTTGTCGTTAACACAGGGTGTTCCTGACAATCGCAACCCGATCAAAAAAACCAAATCGGTCTCCTTCGGATGCAGCATCGTGACTTCCAATTTTGCGTCGATTCTCCAAGTTGTGCCATCTGCCAGGCCATAACCTGTGCCCGCAAAGACATCAGCACATTATTTGTTGCGTTCCCGTTGAACACACAACTTCATCCCAAAAAGTACGGTTAGAAACATTCTGGCTAAACTACTGAATAGGGCAGGTTGTAGGACAGCACACTCCTCTTTCTTTGCACGTTACACGGGGCGCCCAAAGCGCCCCAAGTCAACAAGGGCACCCATATGGGCATGCACACAAAAATGTGCACCCACGAGAGCGGGCCCAGATTGGCACATGTACGCCGGCGAGCAAATGCGCATGCAGCAGCGTGCCCCGAAACTCACCAAATTGCAAGCCTGGAAAAGGATACTGTATAACTGTATATAAAGAACAACTGGTGCACACGAATGCCTCCGAGGCCCTGGCTCCCCCCCAGACCCTCGTTGCTAAGCAAGCTTAGGTAAACGACAGCTTAAGCTTTCGCCTGGCGGCCTGGCGGTTAGCTTTCGTTACTTGTCATGGACGTCTGTGACAATGGGCACAGGTCCTTGAGTGAGGTCCCTCTGAGCCTGCCTCTCATGTGCAGGATGAGCACATCTTGTATATCGGCAGACAAACCAAAACAGTGCATTGATGGTAGTGTTCATGTGTTTAGGGTAGGCCTTGGTGCAGCAAATGCTAAGTGCGTGCAAGTAAGTGTGTATACTGTATATATATATATATATATATATATATGTGGGCACTTGTGTTGTTGCAGGAGGGTTGGAAGCAAGAACTGTTTCCATACCTGGCACTGTTGGTGTCGGCCATGCCATCATATCATGATATATATAGAAAAGGGACATCTTTGGAGGAGCTTTGCAACGCTTGAATCTCTTCCATGAGGCCGTTTTCAATGCTCACCGGGTCTGCAAATCACAAGGGTCTTTGGCCCTGGAACACTCAGGCGTTTTAGGTTCTTTGGAGCTCGTGAAGCCCGAAGTGCTTGTGGCTTTCCAACGTATTTTGATCATCGCACGTAGTCTCGAGGAGCGCCCCGCTTGTGTATTGAAGTTCAGTGGTTGTCGGCATCGAGCATCACACATGCCACCTTTGATCAGACTGTTCGGGGGGGGTTGTTCAAGGATTCAGCAGTTTCCTGTCTTTGACCTTGGACATCTAAATAGGTTCAAGCTGCAGAGTCCAAGTTGTTGTGGATTGCTGTTCACTTTCGGGACTTCAATGCAAGAGTAGTGCTCTACCAGACATGTTCGGCCGTCAGGGACATGTGAACCTTAAATTTGCATGAAGTTTGTCGCAAATGTGCAGTTGCAGCTAGCGGACCTACAGCTATGCAAGTGCATAAAGTCTTACGATCTCAACGGTATGCGAGCACCCACCGGCTCAAAACTGTTAAATGAGAAGAATGCCACTTCAACCTTCAAAACCACTGATCATGGAATGAATGGTGCTACTCTTGACATGCAAGGAAGTGGCTGCTCCGCTTCCAAGAAGTATTGCAAAAGCAACCCTTGATCACCGTCTGAATTTCACCACAGCGCGAGTTTAAGACGTGGAAAACAAAAATGATTGGAATGAAAACGTATATACGCAGATTATAATCAGATTATGCATCATTCCAAAGTTAATGTATATGCCATGCCAAAGAAATGCTGGATGATCCCAGGCCTGCAGACTTCTTCCCACTGACCCAAACGTCCACCTCCATGCCTTCAACAACCCTGCCAGGGATTTGATCGGCTTGAGCCATTTTGCTGGCATGTAGGACAGCGTCGCACTCTGCACCAACATCGACCACAGCATGAGTGGCTGCCACGTGAACCACTCTCCCCTTCAGTTTCTCTCCAACCTTGAGCTGATTCAACCGCTTGCGTCGAAGTTGCACAGGGTGGACTGCAACAGCACAGATGTGGTATCTAGCTTGTCTGTGCCCTTCTGCGGCCTTGCTACAAGCCAATCCAGCAAGAAGGCAAGAAGCAAAAGAGCCAGGAGCACAGAAGGTTTGCTGTTGGCGTTTCCACCTCTCACTGCTCACAGCGCATCGAGTCGGTAGCACTTCAAAACGTATGGGAAGCATGGCTCCAAGGGAGAAATTACAGTCGAAAAACTCTTCGAGTTTGGACTCTGTCAGGAGGTTGCCAAAAATATATTTCCCATGTTGAAACTGTTTGTTCAATCACTCTGGGATCGTATCTGAATAAACTGAAGACTGAAGTAAGAAAAGAACTTGCTGCAACATTGGACGCTTCTGTGTGTGTGAGAGAATGTGCAGTGTGTGTGTGTGTGTGTCCAACTCTGTGTCCAAGAACAATTTTTAAAGGTTTCCAGTGTCCAGCAGGGGAACAGGCAGGGTACATCGTCGCCTGGTCAACGAAGCTGGCGATGTATCCGAGGATATGGAAGTGGGACGCCGCTTCCACGTAGCTGCATTTGTTTGTGGCGTTGACAAGCTATTACCCCACTCTTCCGAACAAGGGCCACCGAGTCACTCTTTGTTTAACCGTTCTTTTGCGCTGACTCAGACTTCTCGACATACCATTGTGCAAGTCAAGGTCTATAACTGGCTGCAAGGTCAAGGGCTAGTGCAGCGGCGAACCAATACTGCAATTTAAGTTCATTCAGTTGAGCTATTTATCTAAGTGTCTTCCCACTTGGGTGTGCGAATGCTGAAATAATACTGCCGAGTCCACGGAGATTCTCCAACAGAAGATCAGACAGTTTCATTCACGCTCATGATTTAGCCAATCTTCAACACTCAACCGACACACGACTTTTACTCCTTCTTTTTGCTCTTGTTCTTCTCTCCATTTCGTTCTCTCTAGAGGCTTGTTGGATTGTAAATCCAGGTTGCGCCGATACCGGCTATATCATCACCAGCCCGACTAGTACCAGTTTTTGAGCGCGCGAGAATTTGCCCTTCGGCACCCAGTCGACCTTTCTCTATGTTTTCTTTTGTTTTTGTCTCCTCTTTCTTTCTGTCTTTCTTTCGTTCTTTCTTTCTTTTCTTCTCTTTTCTTTTCTTGTCTGTTCTCTTCTTTTCTTTTCTTTTCTTTTCTTTTCTTTTCTTTCTTTCTCTCTTTATTTATTTTTTCTTTCGTTTTTTCTTCTCTACAGGCTTGTTAGGTTGTAAATCAGGCTTCTTTGCCGAGTGAACTGAGCACTGAGTCCACTTCACTGTACGAATTCTTTCACTCCTTCCTTTTGCTCTTGCTCTTCTCTCCCTTTCCTTTTCTGTAGAGGCTTCTTAGGTTGTAAATCAGGTTTCTTTGCCGAGCCACCTGAGTACGGGGTCCGCTTCACTGCACAGAGTTCTTTCACTCTTTCCTCTTGCTCT